TAAAGCATTCTTACTTTACAGCATTTTTTCACCCCTGCCTAAAACTTTTGCACAGGACTGTATATGAAATCTTGAAAAAAATTACCCTAGCCTAATCCATTTTACATGACATTGCTAGGCTATTTAAGAAGAACTGCTAAAGAAAATGTTATAAGAATCTTCAGAGTTTGGGGAAGTGTGAATGGCAGTGAGATGATCTTTTGGTCACCATATTAGTGGCTTAGCAGTTAACAGACCTTGGGCTTAGTTAACAGATTAGTGGCTTATCTAACAGACCTTGGGCCATGAGGTTTTGTGAACCCACTATTAAATTATAACTGTTTTAATTTTTGTAGTTCCTGGATGGTTGCTTGCTACTTGGTTCTTCTTCTACTCCTGTACATCTCCTTGAGTCACTTGATGATTAAAAAACCTTTCAAATCCAATAAATAAACAAGATAAAAACTTAACATTGAACTCTGATCAGAGTGTAAATTCAGTGTTTTATTGTAATCTGTATTGTATAGATGGTTATAGAAATCTTGATGCAGGGAGCTTATGTGGATTTTAAAATAAAGGACATTTCTAACATATTTCTATTTTTGTGGCATTTGAGATGTGCATGTAAGCACCGAAATTTCTTGATTTTGTGCAGAGTTTCAGTTATGCATTTGAAAGAATTTTATGTCAGTAAAATATTTATTCTGTTATCTGCTTTTCTAGGGCCACAACCAGATGATAATATACAGCCGGCCTATATATTTTTGCATATTGTGTGGCCTTATTTTATTGCTAGATGCAGGATCTAAAACCAGACGCTCCTTCATTTACACTGTTTATGACATGAAGATCTCACCTGAATTATTTCGGGTAATCAGGGACCATGTAATAGGTGAGTTACTTGTGCAAAAATACAAATAGGCTGCCAAATATTCTAATTTTGCTAAGTACTCTCTCCTCTTTCTCTCAACCTGCAAATAGAGAAGTGGGGGGCGGGGGTGGGGGGGAAGGCAAGTAGGAAAAATGGTGTAATGATAGGCTTACCAGCCCTCCAAACTAATGAATGATTTCTTAGTGGATTATTATGATGCTTCTGGGGTAGCTGTCTGAGTAGGCAGATACTGGAGCTACTGCTTCTGGAGTAGCTATCTGTTATTAAAGGTAATTAACAGTTATTTCTGGATCACAAAATTTCCTTACACCAGTATCCAAGGATAAACCAGAAATTGCAGGATATAAAAAGAAAGTAACCTTTATTGCCTGGCTATGAGGTGTGCTTGGCAAAACTTTTTATGTTGCTGTACCACTTTGGAAAGTAGACCTGAACACAGCACAAGCTTCTTTATGCCATATATCAAGTTTGTTGCAATTCTAGCTGCTTGTAATATTTTATCTCAATCAGATCTCTGAATATATTCAAGAGCAACAAGATTAAGAGATTGTGAGGATCTCTGTCTAGAAGCTACACAATAAGTTCCTACAGACAATTAAGTTATTTGAAACAAAAGCATTTTGTAATAGCTGCTATTAATGCTTCTTTATGCTCTAGATAAATGAATTCAAGCAGAAGAATTTTTTGCAGCTTGCCTGAGCTTGGATACAATTTATGGTTTTTTGGCGAGTCACCAATTCTTTATTTGTTGCTATGTCTCAAGCAGTTAAAACTGGAATTAATTTCTTACTTGCTTCAAGGTTCTTTTAACTTCTTAATCTCGTCTCCATTTTCTCAACTGCATCAGCTTATTCTGAAAGATGATGGTTTATTGCTTGTAGCATGACAAGGATCTCAAAATAACTAACATCTCAAATGGTAACATCAGAAGGAATTTCTGGGGTAAGAATAGTGCTCGGCGTATCTGAATTGGAGTTTCAGCCCGAGTTCCCACCTGGAGAGGAATGATGGAGGATCATTTTTCATTTGGGGCTGAGTGGTGGGAAGAAAGAGCTGTCCAAGGAAGTCTGCACTGTAGAGAAGGGGGAGGAAAAAGAGGCTGCTCCTTGCATTGTGAGGCATTGTTATTTGTCAAAAACACAAGAAGCAACAAAGAACTGTATGATTAAATTTTGTGTTTACCAGCTGTCTTCAAACACATTCCATAATGTTTGTTTTTGCAACTATCAGGGAGGAAACAAATAAACTGCACCTTTACATATCTCTGTCTTACCACAGTCTTAATCCCTGAAGTTTATGGCGAGGGTTTTGCCTCCTCTCCCTTGTTTTTTCTTTCTTCCCTCGTGTGCATAGTTTGGGAGGGAGGGAGTGGGAAATGTCTGCCACCTTGGCATGTTCCTACCAGGAATCCCGAGTGACATCATTTTCCTTTCTTTTTTTCTCTTAACATTTTGTTTACGTATGTACCTAATTTTGAATTTATGGCTATAAATTGTTGCTGCCAGTGTCTGTCTGGCTGTCTGTCTTTCGTCTTTTTTTAAAAAAAATTATTACTGGGTTTATTAAGTATCAGGTTTTTTTTTAAACTTTTGAATATTTGTACTTGAATCAAGATTTGGAGTCCAGTCTGATCTCCAGCCTGGATGTTTTACTATGTTTAATATTTTAGTCATTTTTCTTACATGATGAATTCATTTCATAGAATGTTAAAGTGTTGGGAGTTAAAAGTAAGAGGGGGAAGATTTTTCATAAATTGAAGTTTTGACAGCAGAAGTGTTATTTTTGGAGGGGGGGAACCCCTCACATTCCCTTTGAGAATAACATCTTTTGGCCAGAAGGCAGGCCTATCGGATCCATGTAACTGAAAATTCAAAACAGACAGCAAGCCAATTATTTTAATGAAGAAATCCTCTAACTTTATAAATGGAATAAGAGATTTTGGACACTAATGGGTATAATTTTAGCAGTTAATAGCAGGGACTCTCTGTTAATTTGGAAAAAGTTTTATGATCTAACTAAAGTTAAACCTGCTAGTCTATATATCTGTTTTGTAAATATTTTAGTTTACAGCTGGTCTGGATAATTGTAGCTGGGGATTTTAATTTAATTTTGGATCCAATATTGGATTAGAATAAGACTTTAACGGATTAAAAATAAATGATCCCCAAAGTTGGAATGTTCTTCACATAATATCTGGGAGTTTAATTTGGTGAATATGTGGAGACAGTTACATTCAAATAAACAAATATATACATATTCAAGTTTAGACTGTTTCAATATTTTGATGTTTAGATTAGAAATGTTATATTAATTCAGTCACAATTTCTGATCATGAACCATTTGTAAAATTGGTTTCAGCAGGAAAAAAATCTCCTTTTAGAGGGAGAAGGTGTTTTAAAACATCTTTGTTAAACCTTCAGTTTATAAAACAACAACAAAAAATGTAGATACATTTTTTCAAAGAAATGGAAGATTGACTAATGTGAGGATTGTTTAGAATGCATGTAAAACATTTATAAGTGGCAAAATAATAGGCTATGCATTCTGGAAGAAAAAAAATGAGAGACTCGCAGTGTAAAAAGTTAGAAAAAGAAGTAAAATAGTGTGTGCTAGAAATCACACTTTGGAAGTGTATCATGCATTTAGATTGGTTAAATTGGTGTTCGATTATATTTTGAATTGTGAATATTCAAGTGTATCGAGGAAATGTATTGGAAAAAGGAGAAAACCTGTTCAACTTTTGCCTTCTTGTTTAAAACAGCTGTTATAAAGTAATTTAGTTCCTACAATAAGAGATTGTTTAGGGATAATGCATAGTGCTTATAATGACTTCATTCTCAATGTATGAGTTTTATACAGGCTGATAAAACAATTGAGCAGAAGAGCTCTTTAAAAAAATGGAATAAATCTTCCAGAAATGTTGTAGGAATCTCACTGAAGAGATTTAGTTACACCTTGAACATTATAGGACTTTTTTTTTTTTTTTACAGTAGTGCAATAATGTAACATAGAAAGGGAACTGGGTCAGACATGATATACATAGAGTGATTTTTTTTTTAAAGAGCTTGGTTCCTATTTTATTAGAGATATATAAGGAATCTTTTGAAAAAATGGCCTTTCCGGCCTTTAGCATTTTGGCACTCTCCTGGTATACTGGGACTCTAATGCCTAGAATTTGTTTCCTGTATGGAGTCCCAAAATTTTGGGTGGGTTCCAAATTGAGAAGGCTTCAGTGAATTTCAGTGGTTTCTGTCAAACAAGCATTCATTGATTTAGTTTGTTATTTTGCCTCTCCCTTGTTAACGATCAACTCTTTATTTTCAGGGCATAATCCGCATTTTCTCCTTTTTTTAAAAATGCCAATTTAATTTCCCATCCTAATGATTGCATAATTGGGCAAATAGCTCCCTTATTGCTGAGGAATGAGCCTTTGACACTAGCAGATGTGTTTGAGTTATTTCCTATGGTTGCCTGGAAACGTGCTGATTTAGCCTGCATGTCATTCCTTGCTTAGAGGTTTGAGAAGCTGTTCTTCATGTGAATTGAACTCCAGAAAACGGTGGGGTGGACCTACAGTACACTAGTGGAACTTAGTTCGTTCTGAAATTAACTAGATGTAAGCCAAGACTAACTCATCTCCATGACTTTGATGGCACCTGAGTTCATTTAACTCTGGATCCAATCTTACAGCCTTATGTTGTTGCCGAACAAAACTAGGGCAGATGGGCATTCCCCTGAGGAATAATATTTCATAGGAACTTGGGTCAATAAGTATGAATTTTTGCCCATATTGAAGTTGTAATTTTCCTTTTACCTGAGCCCCATTTCTCCATGTCCTTTCCCTTCAGAACATCAATCTAAGAGGATTCTGGGGGATCCCCAGGTGGAATGTGTTGCTATCACTACTGTAAAATGGAGCAGAAAGGGTATCATTTATTACCCTAGTAATAAATTAGTTTTTCTCCCTAAATAGGTCCTGGGGAAAAGATCAATGGGGAAGAACAGGAGAGGAGTGTGATAACCATCATTGTTAAAAAGTTTGTGTGGTAGTTTTGCCTGTTCTTAAAGATTCTTGAAGCTACCAGACTTAGCAAAAGTCTTCTCATATTGCTGTTTGGAACAACAAGCAAAATCTCAATTTAACAGACTTTAATTTAGTAGACTTAGGTTGCAGCAGGGAAAACATGTCCATGTATGGTTTGTTTCTCTGCATGTATAAATTCCTGTTTGCCATTTTATATAGGAATAAAATCCCATTCACATACCATTGTATGTGACTGTAAAATATGCAGAATATGCACGTGGGAAATCCCACACCCATTTTACACATGTGGAGAAGCTGATTCAGATTTAACAGACAGTCTGCATCATAGGACATCTCTTCCCCCATTACATAAACAGATTGATTTTTGCTATAGCTGAATACTTAATCTTAAATGGTGTTTGTGAAGGAAAGATGTAGAATTGAATGCCAGCATATAGACATAATTTGTCACTCAAGCTGATTTTCACACCAAAACATCTTTATTCCTCTTTTGGGAGACACTTAATAGCTTCCATTGTTTTCCTTTGAAATATATGTACTATATTATATTATGAATGTTGAATCTCTTGAAGAATAAAATAGCCTGGATGGCTTTTTTGCTAAAATCATTTGCATTGCCCTAAGCCATACTTCAACATATAAAGAACAGGCTTAGCACTGTAACTGTGCGCTGCGTAGCCCATGTATAGTAAATGGACAGGCTAATTATTTTGAAAGCATACTAATCACAAGCTGGATGGTACTTTTTAATGTATAGTACAGCAGATTGGAAGGAAAATGTCACCATTCCAGTCTGTAACATATGGTTTGTTTGTAGGAAAAATTATCAGAAACAAAACTATGTTTTTGCCCAAGAAATGGAACAAACAATCTGGGAGCACTTCAAGAAACAATTTTCTACAGATTCCCAATGGCCCTGTTAACATAGCTGTCTGATTTCTTTGTGTTTTAGAAGGAACCTGACAGGAGGCACCTCCCCTGTTTCTCTGTTGGCTTTCAGACTGTTTTTGTTGTTGTTGTTAGATATTTCATGATCTACTCGTTGTAGAATTTGTAGTCATTGCTAGGCTGTTCTTCCACAATACCGCAGATTTTAATACAACAATACAGATGAGTGATTTTCCCTCTGCTGCCAAATGTTGGTTTGGCTCTTAGAAAAGACAGCCGATTTGCTAGTCAGTTCCTCATGAACCTCCTTACACCAACTCATTTTTAAAATCCCTTCCTTTCAGCCATATTTGCTGGGCAGGAGGAAACTGAAATGTGTAACCTTCTTATGTTGTACTGCAGACCACCATAAGGCCTTACAACTTCACTGTGAAAAAAGGAACTTTCTCAGGGTTTAGAGACACAACGGTATTAGTCATCAAATTTGGATATAATTTTATATCAGGTGCAAAATCTTGACAATGAATTATATACTCAGTATTCTGTATTTATATTAAGGATGCTTGAAGATTGTATTTGGACATCAATTTAGAACAAACCAGCTTGAAATGTATCTTCCAAAATAGAAGATGGAAGATGCATTATGTGGATCATACTGCATTGATCATTCAGAAGTTGGTCTCTCCTGAATTTTGCAGTTCACACATGCACACATATAACAGAGAAATAGGTCAGAATGGAATCACTAATTAATATTGTATAGGCAAAACTGATACAGATTGGAAATACTAATTCACAGTCTTTTCCTAGAATGGATTACATATGGATGAAAGATTAATATTGCCTCCAGGATTGAAAAAGAATGTGAGTTATAAGTTGATTTTGTTAATCAACTTACAGCTAATGCTGTCTGTTGGGATGAACAGGACACTGTCTTATTAGGCTCAGCTAGTCTAGGAAGTGACATTAGCTTTCAGCTTGTTCCTTAGACATCTTGGACTTGCCATTGGAAAATTTATCTTTTTCTTTCACTTCCTCCACCCATCTTCCTTACAGGTCATACAATTTTAGTTTATAAGCTTAGGATACACATTTAAAATTGCTGTGAGTGTTTTAGAAGGCAAATGTGGCAAAACCAGAATTAGTGGACCAACCTTTGTCCCACCAGATCATCCATTAGCAGCATTAGTTACCACTACAAGTTGCATCTTTTAGTATATTAAGCAGTTATTAATATATATTAATTATGTATGTATTAATATATAACTGTTTGCATAATAGAAGGAATCCCAATTATTTATATAAATGTATAAAACATTATTCTTGTAAAAGTTCTTTGGATCCAACCAAATCTCATTTTTTCCCCCTTTCTCTCCTTCCCTGTCTCTTCCTCTCCTCCCTCCATGTTTAATTTCAGGATTTTTATATTGCTTTCCTGTGATTTCTCTTCTTGGTCTTTTCCCACAAATCAACACATTCTGTATATATCTCCTTGAACAGATAGATATACTGGTATTTGGTGGTTCTGGTAAGTACTGTATGCTGTTATATATAATATCCAGAACTGCTCAAATTTAGGTGAGAATTTTTATAGTTGTGATTTTTTTTTTTTACATCAGACTGATCTGCCTCTGCCAAAATTCTCTTGTCCACATATCTCTTCAAAGGATGACAGTGGCCTTATCTTTTGTATCTGCTCACCTTAGGTGACAGGCTGCTGCTCAGGAAAAATAATCTGGACTGCAGTAAACAGTACTGTAGCAGTTGATCAAATTGATCACATGCAGTGTCTCACCAGTGGGTCATCTCTGTTCAATGCATAGAGCAAATCCCTATTTTATTCCAGCATCACTGAGTTTTGGACCATGATGATTATTGGCTCAGCCCAGGACTTTTTGCTCTTTCAGGACGTTGCATGACCTAAGAGTTGTGCCTTGGCAGCCCCACTGACCTTGCGATGTATCTCAGAACGCATGAGGCTCCATTGTTCTTCCAAAAATGCTACTGCTGAAACAAACTGCTTGAGATGATTGTGCCATTAGACCAGTCCTGTTATTGTTCTGTGTGGGTGTTCTGCACGCCAAGCATGGATTAACTTTTCAGAACCCATATGTCTACAGAATTAGAATTTAAAATAAGGATCACTTTATTGCCCAGCAACGTTGGAACTGGAAGCTTGACTGTTTTCTAATGATGGAAAACATAAGATGGGTGGTAGTCATCCTTGGAGCATAAAGAGATGCAGCAATTGGGGAATCTAGGTATGGAGGCTAACTTCCAGTGGCACACCTCTGCCCTCAACCCCAAATGGCAAAACATGCATGATGATATCACATTACAAAACCACCCTTTTGTATTTGCATTTGCAATGTCAGACGCAAGTATCTAAAGGATGGAGCTTACCTTGGGATGCATGTCTCATTGCCCCATCTCTTTCTAATCTCCTGCAAATGCCTATGTTGATGCTGTTTGTTACTATCTTTTCCTGCGTATTGTATCAACGCAGAAAAGGAAACTGCATTTTTTTTCACTATGAGTTTGTGGTCACTGAATGGCTTACAGTAACCACATATACAGTAGAGTCTCGCATATCCGACATAAATGGGCCGGCAGAACGTCGGATAAGCAAAAATGTCAGATAACACACATTAACAATTGAGTGCGGTAAAAAAAAAAAAAAAACCCGATCCGCTGCGCCTGTTGCAATCAATTTTTGCGTTGTGGTGCCGCACCGTCAGGAGCAACAAGAAAGAGTACACTCACGCTCGCAAACAAGCGGCACACTT